TATTTATTTATTTATTTATTTATTTATTTGGAACAGGATCTTGCAGCTTGGACTCATAGTGATCCACCTGTCTCAGCCTCCCCAGCACTGGGATTACAGGTGTGAGCCACCATGCCCAGTTTCTGTGGCTAGCACTGCAAGCCCGGAGTTCCAGGGATCGAAGCCCGGTCCTTGTGCTTGCTAGGCAGGCACTTAGACTGCTGAGCTATCTCCTCCACCTGAGATACACAATTTAAATTGCATACTTGTAAGCATAGCAAGTAAGATAAATGTACCCCAACTTTATGATTACTAACTTATCTTTTTATCCCAGAAAATGGCTGTGAAGGTAACTGGGAAAAGAATGAGCAGACTGGAAGTTGCTACCAATTTAATACGCAGGCAATTCTCTCTTGGAAAGAAGCCTATGTTTCCTGTCACAGTCAGGGGGCTGACTTACTGAGCATCCACAGTGCTGCTGAATTAAATTATCTTGAAGGTAAGTTTAACTTGCATGTGGTAGAGCAAGTTGTTGCAATGGCAAAGGTGCTTTCTTCTACTTTCTTGTCCAGGAGTGGTGTTCTACATCTATTTTTCTGATTTTCTTGGGATTTAAACTTCTACACTGGGGGGGTCAGCAAGATAGCTCAGAAGACTAAGAGCCTGCTTAGGCAAGTGCAGGGACTGGGGTTCGATACCCAGCACCACAGGCTGTGCTGGGCCCACCCCTGGGCATGCTGAGCCAGCCACCGAATCCGGGTGTGGTAGCACACACCTGTAATCCCAGTGCTGGGGAGGCTGAGACAGGTGGATCACTATGAGTCCAAGCTATGTAGTGAGACTCTGTAACAACCAAAGAAATAATAATAATAATAATAATAATAATAATAAAATTAAAAATAACTTCACTGAACCTCATAAGCAAAAATGTACTGAATGTATACATCTTTCATACATTGAAAAATACCGCTTGAGGTAGAGACCAGAGATGGATGTTCCAAAAACAATCCTAAGTGGAAAGATTTGAGGGCGCAGAGTGAACTTTCAACTCCTTGAAGCAGAGATTCATTTCATGGAAGATAAAGCAGATGGCGTCACACTGCAGAACCTCAGGGAAATGCCCTCACATTTTGGTGAAGACGTACAGTCCTCAGCGGTAAAGAGGGCTTTAAGAAATCTTACAGTGGATTTAACACAGCTACGTGGAGTGGATAGGATTTTGTTTTATTTTGTTTGCAGGATAGCAGTGAAAATGTTAAAGTATTTAATGATGGAAATTTAATTCATACAGACAAGGAACAAAAGTAAAGAGATTATGTGTTCTTTCATGTGAATTTTAGGATCACCTTGAAATTCCAGTAATAATACCTATGAGAACTTTGATTGGAATTGCATTGAATTACAGATTAATTAGGAAGGCATTGCTGTTCCTTTTTTCTTTTCTTTTTTAATTTTAGTACAGGGTTCACAGGATCTCCAGGGTCTCACTATAGAGATCGGACTCGTAGTGATTCTCCTGTTTTCAGCCTCTGACACACTGGGATTATAGGCGCGCGCCACCACGGCCCTGTCTCAGTTGCTGTCTCTGTGTGCCCTGGGGGTGGGGCCGGCATGGCATGCCAGGGATCAAACCCCGGCCCCTGCCAAAGTAGGTGCTTTAGTGCACTGACCTATCTTGCTGGCTCCTTCTACATCTGAAGCAGTTGTTGAAGTCTGTTTTTGTGCCTTTAGTTGTGCTGCTGTGGCTATCTTAATACCTGAAGTAATTGAAAGTGTTTACCATTTATGCTCATTATTTTTAATTTTGGCAAGGAGCCAAGAATCACGCAGTGCCAGATTCAGTGAGTAACATTACAGGCCACACTGTAATGTTTTCATTTGACAAAAATTTCTCTGAAGAGTATGCATAAAGTGATAATAAAATGCAATGAGGGCTAAAATTTAAATTTTATTTCATTAAGTGACACATTGTCATTGATTCCCTTCAAATATTCCCTAACTTTATCCCATAATGTGTTTTTTACTGTAATAAAGTTTTTAAAATTTTAATGTTCTATCCTCATGTTATTATTACATTATCATGAGGCTCAAAGAAGAAATGCAACTTATCCAACATAACTGGAAAATAATTAGCGCAGCTTAAATTTGAACAGTTGATCTGACAAAAACAACTTATATCAGGCATGTGCTTGGATTCACCTTTTTTAAGACTACAAGTTCTTTGCAGGCAGAGATTTTTTTTTTTTAAGTTTAAGCATAAAACTTACAACATCAGTGGCATACTGCAAACAAATACCTAGTTACTAAATATTTAAGGTAAATTCTGTCACATACTTTTATAACTACAAATAGTTATAAATTCTATGAGCAAGGCTTTCTCTCCAAAGAGGTTCATCATTGCTACCAAATCACAAGATCAAGAATTGATGTTTAGAAAGTGTTGCACATACATTGGGCATAGTGTAATCCCAGCGCTTGGGAGGCTGAAAACAAGAAGATCACGAGTCCCGATCTATACAGTGAGACCCTGGAGATCCTGTACTAAACACATAAAAAAATTTTAAAAATAAATGTTACACAGCTAAAATATTCCAGAATTAGAATTTGAATATCAACAAAGAAAACTACAGCACCATTGCTTTTTTTTTTCAACTATGCTACTCTTACATATTTTCTATATTTCTTTTTTTTTTCTATCATCAAAATCACACTGACCTTGTTTTTCTGCTTTTTGGCTTAAGTTTTATTCAGGCCTCCTTTCTTACTTAGAGCTTTGTCCTTTTGTGGGTGTGTTGTTGGGAAGTTAAGTAACTAACTCTGGAATGGAAATCTGTCAAATACATCTAACAGGCTAGTTGATAGAACTCTATTTCAGACTTCACTAATACCTTACCAAAAATATCATTGGGAATGTAAAGTGTCAATAAATGTGAGTCTCTTAGAATATCAACGTTTGGAAAGTGATGATTTTGAGAAGGAGAAAAACGGTGAAGGGTAGCTATCACCATTTTACAAAATCTAATGATGCATTTGGGGCAATGAATGTTGTGTGAGTCTTAATGAATAAGCTTTTCTTTAATAACAGAAAAGTGAGATATGTAGAAATGTATCTTATTGTCCTCTACCCTGGCAAGACACTTCACATATTTTACATATGTCAATAATTTGAGAAATGCATCTGTTTCTAATATTTCAAGTGTCACTTTCAATATAAGATCTCTTTAGGCATATCAATATACCTAATTATATTTTTTAATTTCTCAATATTCATGAAAGCTGTGCCTTAGAATTAAAATTTAGAGTATCCATATTTTTAGAAGAAATTTCTATTGTATATCTCTTTACTGCAGACAGCCATGTGTAAACATTGGATGAGGAGTAATGATGCCCATAAAAATGAACAAATAAAGAATTTGTAACCAAAGTGCCTGATCTGATTGAGGAAATAGTTGTGAATATGCAAAGCCATAGGTTCCAGCCTGAGTACAAGCTGCCAAATTATAATGGCCCTGATATAACATGGCCAAGTCCCCAAACAATAGTTTATCTTTCCAATGACCATTTCCTTCTTCATCCCCATTCCAGCCCTGGATACAACTTCCTTTTACTTTTCACACACACACAAGCAAACCCTACAGTCAGCTCCTTGGGCCTCACTAATCCTGCCCCTCAAACTCCTCCCCTATCAAAAGTCTATAAAGTCTCGAGCTCTCTGTCTCAGGTCAGAGTATCTGCCCCATCTGCCCTTGATCCTCTCCATATCTTTAGAGTTAGTAAAGACAACTTTTATCTTTCCTGTCTCTTTACTGCAGCACCCGAAAACCCTAACACAGAGTATAATGAAGTGTGTTATTTCCCATCGATGTTCCATTTTGGTAGTTAGTAGTTGGGTGAGACTAGGGAATCTATTGCAGAGAAAAAAATAATAAATGGAGGAAGTGAAGAAAGAATAATGAAAGAGGTAATAATTTTAAATAGAAGAGAAAAAAAAAGAAAAAGCAGAATAGAACAGCAAACAAAAAATTCCAAAATGTTGGCATTTTGGAGAGAGAGAGAGAGAGAGAGAGAGAGAGAGAGAGAGAGAGAGAGAGAGAGACAGAGAGAGAGACAGAGAGAGAGACAGAGAGAGAGACAGAGAGAGAGAGACAGAGAGAGAGACAGAGAGAGAGACAGAGAGACAGAGACAGACAGAGACAGAGAGACAGAGACGGAGACAGAGACAGAGAGAGAAAGAAATGAAAACATTATTCCTTGTTGCAATGTTTGAGTGAATCGTTTCTTTCCAGGACCTCTAGTATTAGAATCCAATAGAAATGGGAAATGGACAGTGAGCGACAATTGTATAATATTGTGTTTCCATGCCCACATTTTGTTCTGTGACTTCTGAATCCTGCCCTGCCTTCACCTCTGGGTGGAGTCAGTCATGTTGTCTGCCTCAGGGCTGTACTCATTTCATTATTTTTTGTACCCTTCTGTGCACAAGAATCACCACTATCCCCAAATAGCTTCACTGCCTGTGGGCTGAGGAGTGCCCCCTTTGCTTCAGAGTCCCTCAGGCCTTAGAAAATATCCAAGCAGCAATGTGTCATAGACCAGGTTAGCAAGTGGGAAAAGCAAATGAACCACAGAGTTTTGTGCTGAACTTGGTAACACGGGGGGCTATTTTGTCCACAGGACTCAATCGTAGTGCTTTCAGACCCAGCCCTCTGAGAAACCACAGATGACCAGCATGAGATCTCACCACAGAAAAAGGGATTTCTGTGCTCTTTACAGCCTGAGCTTGCCACTGCCAGACTATCTCCTGAGGCCATCTCCCACCCAGTTACAGCAGGAGGGTGACCCAAAGACCCTGACTCATACTTGTTCTGTGACTTCTGATTCCCTGGAGTAGCTCAGTGTTGATACAATAAACCCCTTCTCACATTGGCTCCTGAATATATTACTCCTGCATATGCAAGTGCTGCACTAGATTTCTTTTCCCAAGTTAGCCTGCTATACAGCAGGAGTCACATTGAGAATAAAACCTTACTCTGTGTTTGGTGCTCACAATTTGCTGTAGGTTTTTTCTGGCATTTTACTGCCCATCCATTGTTTATCACTGAGGCTACTGGCTCTTGCGGACCAACTGCAGCTAGATTCTGGAGTCAGGTCCTCCTCCTGGGGAGTCAGGGTTGACATTTCAGGCTCCTTTTTTTTCTCTCTGCATTGTCCTGTGCTTCTCTGTGATTTTCAACTGCCCTGCTATCTCTTGATTTCTGGAGTTCTTTTCTCTCTCCTTGCTAAGTATTTGTCTCCAACACCCTCTTGCCAGGTTCCTCCAACACTGTATCTGGTTACTGCTCTTGACCTTTTCCTTTTTTCTGCAACTATTCCTTCTCAACCCAATTTCTGGTTTTGGTTCTAGAGATATCACATTGGAAGGACTTGGATTCTAATGTGTGCAATAACACAAAGATCGTGTGTAGTCAAAATTACCCTTGGAAAACCCTTAAAGTATGAATATTTTTTGATAGTATACATATGTATAGTATATAATACAATAACACATCATATATAATTCCCTGGGTAGAACTAAGAAACTATTATCAACTATTTTGCTGCTGGAAATCTTTCCACAAATTTATAAAGATCTCAGCCTTTGTAAAGCTTGCTCCGTTTGTCAGCATCTTCTTTGTCTTTGATACAGCACTCTGTCCATTGTTCTACCTTTGCTACCTGACCTTCAATTAACTTTTCAAACTCTTCCTTCATGATATTGATAAAGTCTTGGCAGGTTCCTGGACAATGCTGTGGACTTCATAAACAATGCCAAAAATTCTCAACAATCATTAGCATGTTCTTTTCATTCTTTTTCCATATCTGTAGACCCATACAAATGTGGTCACGTCCCTGTTTTGGGAGCATATGCACATTAAATGGCATATCAACAATTGACCTTAATATGTAAATTATTTAAGCTTCTGGTTTTGTTTTGTTTTGTTTTCTGATGGAATCTGGTTGTCAAATAATAGAGTTGACTGACACATGTTTCCTGTATGCACACATTTGTATGACTTTCATTCTTTTTCTCCTGTCTAAGGGTTACTTTAGACTGGAGAAATGGCTCTTATACATATTTCTCACCCAGTTCCAGAAACATGTAACCAGTTGAGGGATTCTGTATCAGTTACTTTCTACTATTTTGAAATTTTCATAAGAGCAGGGATTTTGTCATTTTGATTTTTATATTCCTGATGTTTGGCAAATAATATGTGCTTCATGAGTTTAAGCTGTTAACCTAGAATACAATCAGATTCTCAAAATCTAGATGTACAACAGAAACTGTTTTTGATAAGTTTTCAAATTAGTACAAAAGAGTTAAAAATAGATTGTGAAACAGGAATCTGCAGGTTCTATTTTTACCTTCTTAGACAAAAGGGAGTCAGACAGGCTCATGGTAAAATAGTTGAACAAATATATGAGACTTGGGTCTCTCAGTAGTTGATGTTCTGTTGTCTGTCAGTGTCGCCTGTCTTTGTTGCCTACTCAGCATATTACGTGGATTTCTGCTTATAATCAAGGCCTTCAGTGTTTGGCTTTGGGGATTGATTTGTTTCTATTGTTTTGCTTTTTTGCAGTTAGTAGAAAGTTGGTCTTCTTGAGATGATAGATTATGGTCACTTTTAAAAACCTGTGTAAATCTTACAGGAAAAGAAGATGTTCCTAAAAATTTCTGGATTGGACTAAATCAGCTGTACTCTGCCAGAGGCTGGGAATGGTCAGATCACAAGCCATCAAACTTTTTCAACTGGGACCCTGGTAATGCGTCTGCCCCACCCACTTTCCTCAGAGCAAAAGATTTTAAAAACAAGGGCTTCCCAATCACTGAGAGCTTATAAAAGTTTCAAGTATTGACAATTTTTGTGAAAAAAATTTGTTAGAAAAAAATTTTGCTAAGCCATCCTTAACTGTGCTACCTGCTGACCACATCACGGGCTGCTGGGACTTCTCCTTGGCCTTGACACCCAGCCCTCAATTTTAGGTAGGAGCAGGAGGCGTCTCACCACATGGCCAAGACCACTCAGGGTATTGTGGGAACTTGACATGCTGCAATTCACCCATGTTGCATTTCATTTGCAGCTTAACTCTAATGTGGAAATATTCCTCAATTTCTATAGCTTGAGGTCTCCCTACTCTACTACTCAATTACTGACAGCATAATGCTTATATTTTATTATTCAAATAAATTCTTCAAAGAAAACTTTGTGGTGAATGAAATAAATAAAACTATATGTAACCAAAGTAACTTTTTCTCCAAAGGGAAGAATGAGGAACTTTTAAAAAACATACAGCCTCGCAAATTAAAAACCATAAAATTCACATTAATTTCAGTAAAAAATATCCTGTGCACATATAGAAAAGAAAAGAGTTATGTACAGGCAATACTAATGTCACTTAGCTAATATATTTTCTTAGCTAAATTTTTCATGAAATACCAATGTCACTTAGCTAAATAAATTTTCTTAAAGAAAATAAACCTTTGTCTCAGTAAACAGAATCTTTAAAGTGTGTGTGTGTGTGTGTGTGTGTGTGCACATACGCATGTGCACACATGAACATACGCTCTGTGGATCAAACCAAGGGCCTCACACCTGCTAAGCAAATACTCTACCACTGAGGTGCACTGTCAGCCCTAAATTTAATATTTATGATAAGAAGGCTTAAAGGCATTACAGAATCTTACAGAACCATAATTTAATATCTTCATCATATTATAAACATTTATTGTAGAATTGCAGATTAGGAGCTACTGGCCACAGGTAGGAAGTTGCTTGGAAATGGAGGTTTGCTTTTGCTTTTGCATTTTAAATGAACTATGATATATCAGAATGTTTTCCTTAGTTTTTGTAATTTAGAAAAAGAAATATTTAAACACATTATTGTCTATTGAAGCTTGTACCTTTCAATTTTAAAAGCGTTAAGTGTACTATGACTTTCCAGAAAGTCAGAAAATTATGAGTATGAAATATTTTCCCTGAGCCTAACCTTTGTCAACTCTGAGAATCCTGCCTTTTAAGATACGCCAAGTGCACCTGACATGGGTGGATCAAGCTGCGCAAGAATGGATGCCGAGTCTGGGCTGTGGCAGATGACTTTCTGCGAAGCTAAACTACCCTACATCTGCAAGAAACCACTGAATGATACAGTGGCATTAACAGGTATCTTCCTTACTTGCCTGTACAGAGAAATCTTAAGGTAACAGTTTTGTGAAGTCAAGTAAATTCATTTCAGATACCTATTTCCACATTTCCTTTGCCTGATACTGCCAGTGCAAAAAAGCATTTCACTTATGACCCTGCCATTAGGTATTAGCAACTGAAGAATATCAAGTAAGCATGTTTATCCACATGAGATGCCAGATATATTCTTGATAGGAAATCTATTTCCGCTCACTGGTGGCCTGCCCCTTTATGTCTGCCTGTGTCCGTGTGTCTGTCTGGTGTCTCCCCTGTCCACTGTGGTTCTCAGAGAACACATCAACACTGCATATCAGCATCACCTATGCCTGTTAGAAATGAAGCTTCTCAGGACGCCCTGTGATTTACTGAATCAGAAACTGTAGAGGTGGGGCCCAGAATCTGTTTTAAGAAGGCCGTCAATGGCTCAGTGGTCTAAAGCACCTACTTAGAACAAGCTTAGCAAAGCACAGGGACCGCGGTTCAGTCCCCCAGCACCACATGCCAGCCAGCCCCGCCCCCTGGTGGGCTGAGCTGGACACACACACACACACACACACAAATAAATTAATTAATTAATTAATTAAAAAAAAAAGAAGGCCGTCGAGTGCCCATGACATGTTCTTGAGTCTAAGAACTGCTGTAAGGACAGGCATTAGGCCCATATTGAATACTTGTGACGCATACAGGCTATTCCAGGGGTTCATATCTCTTGCCCATAAAACCCAGCTTTCTCTGTCCACCTGTGTTGGTTCTTTAGTCCTTGTACAGAGAAGTCAGGTAAAAAAATAATGAGCCGCTCAGAACAAAATTTGTACATGAAGGGTGTTTTCCAGGGAGTTCACTATTGAAAAAGACACAGGAACAGCAGAAGTTTTTGAGAAAGGAAGTTTAAGGAATGTTTTACAAGAATGAAGAAGAACACCTAGACTATCAAGCTCAGGGCTTGATATTTGATTAAATCTTTACTGAATAAGAAAAACTCAGACTCAAAAGTGAAAGGCAAAATGGTGATTTTAAAAGTCCTACTTTAGGGCTGGTGAGATGGCTCAGTGGTCTAAAGCACCTACTTAGAACAAGCTTAGCAAAGCACAGGGACCATCGTCCAATCCCCCAGCACCACATGCCAGCCAGCCCCGC